TATTTATCAAATTTAGCCAAATATTAATCTTTAATTTTAAAAATATCAGTTTTTTAAAAACTTTCAAATATATTCAAAATATCATTTAAATAGACACAAATATCCTTAAACTTTAAAAATATTAAGTTGTTGATTAAAAAATTCTTGTGCTATAATCAAGTGTTACTTTCACTAATATTCTTCTCATTTTTTTAAAAGAAATTAGATCTCCATCCCTTTTTTTTTCTACTCTATTGATTAAAAGGAAAACTAACGAATAGTAAAAAATAAAAAAAAAATAAAAAATTAGTTTTAATGAAAAATGACAAATAATGGTGTAGTGAATAGTACCAGGAAAATGTAAAATTTGTGGTTTTTGGTTAAAAGTGAACAGTACTATGAGTGTTTCGTTAAAACCTTATTCTTTTTTAAATTTTGATCAAGGTCCTTAGGTTTTAATAAACGTCATTAATTATTTTAATAAGAAAATATTTTTTATTTCTAAATATATTCATTTAGTGTTAGAAATGTTACATTTGGTAATTGCTAAATTTTTGTCATATATTTTTACTTTTAGTTTGTACCCATTTTTAATTTGCAACCCTTTTGCAATTTGTACCAATTTTCTTTTTATTTTGAATTTATACCCATATATTAATTTCTTTTTGTGCCCATATTTTAAAAGATTTATTTGTATTTGTACCCATATTTTTTTAATTTTGCTAAATGTGCCCACGCTAATTTTTAAAGATTTTAAAAAATATTATTTAAATTTGTTTAAATTTCATAATTTGTGGAACATTAAATGCATAAATGTATGAGTTAAATCTCTTAAAAGATGTTAAGGATCTCAATCAAAATATTTAAACTAACAAAATTTCAGTCTAAAAATTAGGTTGATTAGGAGTCGGAACCAAAATGATCATTTTTTTATTTTCTTTGTCAAACAAAGACCATAGGTTTCTCTTAATTTTATTTTTTGATAAATAATCAATTATTGCTCAGATTATTTTTAATATTGCTCGGATTATTAGTACAATAATTGACAATTTCCTAACCAACATAAGAAGAATAAAATCATAAAGAATGAAAATTTTCTATTCCGTAAACCCTAATTTTTCTAATATGCACTAAATTAATACTAGCTTTGCCTTTAACTGATTCGCAAATACTATAATATTTATCGATCTTCCATTGACACAAGAAACTTAATTTTTCTAACATGTGCTAAAGAGTTTCTATTCCGTAAAATTTTAAAAATTATTTTTGCATTTTCTAAGAACAGCAGATCCCTCGATTCACTACCATAGTCAATGGTAACCTTCAAAACAGAATCAGAACACGAAAAAACACCCTTAATAATGCAAAGGTGTGGAAAACTAAATATGAAACACATATAATCCAAAGGAAAGTTGAGATAACCTACATTACAAAGATTGACAGTTTGTTCTTCAATAAATATTCAAGCGAAGGAAAAAACTACAAAAGCAAAGAGAAAACATAGATGAGAAAAAATGAAAGAAAAACCATCTACACTGAATTTCATTTAGGGATGCACAAGTCTCCACCAGTAGCCGATGCCTTCGATATTTCTCCACCATTTCTTAGGTTTTATCGCCAAAAATTTCCATCTAATAAGGTTTTGGTTTTTTAGTTTATTTGGTTTTAAAGTTAAAGACATTTATATCTATTTAAGTGATATTTTGGATATATTTAAAATTTTATATAAAAACTAACATTTTTTGAAATTAAGAGCTAATATTTGTTCAATTTGTTAAAGACTGATTCGAAAAAAGAAAAAGGAAAAAAAATGAATGCACAGAGAAGATGAGAGAAGAATGGTTGCTCTTCCTCTCTGCAAAATTCACAGAGGGATATTCTATTTCATTAATGCCTCACTCTCACACACACAATGTGCAAAAGAGGAGTATTATAGTTAACAAGAGCTGAGCTGGATCAACACATCAGAAAAGTTGATCTCAGCCGTTCATTACCTAATAACTAGGATCATCACACATGGCACTCATGGCCTTACATCTTTTGACTTCACACTTGGCATATATGCTCAAGAGAATACACAATTAAACTCATCTTATTTCACTAATATTAATCAGCTATAGACTTATAATTCAACACTCCCCTTTAAGTCTTGAGCTGATTTCACTCCAAGCATATTTCTGAGATAGTTGAACCGATCCTTAGCCAAAGGTTTTGTGAAAATATCTGCTAACTGCTCTTCAGTGGGACAGTACACCAAGTTAATAATTCCTTCCTGCAGTGCATCCTTAATGAAATGATACCTTCTATCTATGTGCTTAGTCTTCTGGTGAAACACAGAATTCTTGGTGATTGCAATTGCAGAGGTGTTGTCACACTGCAATGGAGTTGCTTCGGTTTGAAGTTCTCCAAAATCTTCCAATACAAATCTGAGCCAGATTGCTTGTGCAGTGGCATCGGATGCCCTTATGTACTCTGCTTTTGCAGTAGATAATGCCACGCAGCTTTGCTTGACTGAAGCCCAAGAAAAAACTCCACTTCCAAAAGAAAATGCATATCCATATGTACTTTTACTATCATCTAGTGATCCACCCCAGTCACTGTCGCAATAACCAATCAACATTGCCTTCTTGCCTTTTATGTATTCTAAACCATAGTTTATAGTCCCCTTGACGTATCTGAGCACACGTTTGGCAGTTCCAAAATGTTTGCTAGTAGGACAATGCATAAATCTAGCAAGTAGACTATATGCATACATGATGTCCGGCCTAGTAGTTGTGAGATATAGAAGACTCCCCACAATGCTTCTGTATAATTCTTCACTTACTGCTCCACTTCCATCATTTTTGGTTAACTTCTCAGTTGCCACAAGTGGTGTGATCACAGACTTGCACTCATTTAGATTGAACTTGTTTAGCAAAGAACTTGCATATTTCTTCTGGTGAGTGAAAATGCTAGAGTTGGTCTGAATTATCCCCATTCCAAGGAAATGATGGAGAAGACCCAAATCTGTCATTTCATATTTCTTTTTCATATTTTCCTTGAATTCTTCAAGCATCAGTCTATCACTACCAGTATAAACTATGTCATCCACATAGATAGAAACAATCAAGATGTCCTCTCCCCTTGTTTTGGTGTACAGAGTTAGTTCACTCAAACTTTTCTCAAAACCACATTGAGAGAAATATGTGTCAATTTCTCCATACCAGGCCTTTAGTGCCTGTTTTAACCCATAAAGAGCTTTGTACAACTTGTAAACTTTATCTTCTTTTCCTTTGACCACAAATCATTCAGGCTGATCTACATAAACTTCTTCTTCCAATACACCATTCAGAAATGTTGATTTCACATCAAGCTGATACAATTTCCAGCTCTTATGTGCTGCCAAGGCTACAAGTGTCCTGATAGTATCCAATTTAGCCACTGGAGCATAAGTTTCATTGTAGTCTAGCCCTGGCTTTTGAACATAACCCTTTGCAACTAGCCTAGCTTCGTTTTTTAAAATTGAACCATCAAGATTTAACTTGGTTTTGTAGACCCATTTAACTCCAATAACCGGTTTTTCTGTTGGTCTATCCACAAGCTTCCAGGTGTCATTCTTCTCAATCATGGCTAATTCATCTTCCATTGCTTTTAACCAGGATTCATCTTGCATTGCTTCTTCATACTTCTCTAGATCCATGATGCAGAGATTGCATTGAGCCAATACTTCATCTAGTTTCTCCATTTCAATGGAGTGTGGTCATATGCTTGTGTGTTTCTTTCATCTTGACTTGTGTTGCTGGGAGACTTGCTTGAGGGAGAAAAGGTGAGTTGAAGGTTTGAATTTTCTGCATTAACATTCCTTCCATGATTCTGTGATGCAGGAGTAGTTTGTGGCAGAAAAGAACTTTCATTATCTTCAGGACTAAAGCTGTCATATACAAATTTTCCTTCAGTGAGAGGCATCACAGCTTGTCCAGAATTTCTTTTCCACCCCAGGTTGTTTCCTCATCAAACACAATGTCCCTGGACAAAATAAGTTTCTTGGTAACTAGATCAAACACTTTATAGCCCTTTTCATAGGTTGCATAACCAACAAATATGCCTTTTAACACTTTTGGGTTCAAGCTTGTGTCTAACTTCTTTTGGAACATGAGCATAGCATAAAGCACCTAATATTCTCAGATGAGCAATACCAGGTTTTCTTCTAGAATAGGCTTTAAAGGGGGTGATATTGTCTAATGCCTTTGTGGGACATCTATTTAATAGATACACAGCTGTATGCACTGCCTCAGCCCATAAATAGTATGGCATTCCTTTCTCATGTAGCATCGACCTTGCCATTTCAACCACTGTCCTGTTTTTTCTTTCTACAACTCCATTCTGTTGTGGAGTGTAAGATAGAGTAAGCTGCCTCTGTATTCCTTCATTTTCATAGAATTGCACAAATTCAGTTGACATGAACTCTCCCCCTCGATCACTTCGCAAACTTTTTACTTTAAAACCACATTGTAGTTCAGTCATAACCTTGAATTTTCTAAAACAACAAAATGATTCAAACTTGTGCTTTAGAAAATATACCCACACCATTCTGGTACAATCATCTATCAGCATCATGAAGTATTTATTTCCAGCCATTGACTCAATCTTCATTGGACCACATAGATCAACATGAACAACTTCAAGTGGGACATTTGCTCTTAGTGCTTGATTCTTTGGGAATTCATCTATGTGTTGCTTTCCATACTGACAACCTTCACATACACCACTGTGACTTTCAAGTTGTGGCAAACCATGTACCATATTCTTATCTCTCAATTGCTTAAGACCACCAAAATGTAGGTGTCCAAATCATCTGTGCCAAACCCAAGCAAAATGATTCACACTAGCTCTCAGTGCAATTTGATTTTCAGGTAGAAAAGACAAATGATAGCATCTATTTCCTTTCTTCTTCACTTTAATGACTAACAATCCAGGGAAGGGCCATCAAATACATTGCACATTCCTCCTCCAAATAACAAGAAATATCCATGTTCATCCATTTAACCAACACCGAGTAAGTTCTTCTTTAATCCAAGAAGATACATGACTTCTCTGACATACTTTCTTCCCTTATTAGTATCAATAGCCAAAGAACCCATTCCTTCAATATTTACAAGGTCTCCAGTAGGCATTTGAACTATGCCTGCAATGTTATTTCTCACATCAACAAGAAGATTCACATTTCCTGTCATATGATTGCTACATCCACTGTCAATATACCATTCTCCATTCACTTTAGCCTCAGTAATTGCATTATTTGCATAAAACAGATTTCCTGACACTTCTGCTTGATTTGCATTATTAGCCTTCTGCACTATTTTTCCTGCAGTACACTCTCTAGCCTAATGCCCAAATTTATCACAGCTATAGCATTTTGGTTTGCCCTTGTGTCTACATTCACCAAAATGAAACTTAGAGCACACCTTGCACTGAGGTTTTATGACTTCTTAATTCATTGATTGAGAGGGATTCACATTTTGAGGTGTGTTTGTAAAAGATCTCTGTTGAAACTTGGATTTTGACTCCCATTTCTTTCCCTTAGAGTTCCAATTTCTAGGAGATTTTCCTGAGTAAGTGCTACCTCTATTTTGCCCCTTTTGACTCACAGAAAGAGAAAGCTCTCTCTGTTGTATCAACAGTATGTAAGCCAAACCGTTGTTCTTGACTTTTCAAGATTGTTATAACCTTCTGCAATTCTACAGTCTCCAAGCTCTTTGTATTCTCAATAACTAGACATATGGGATCATATGGTTTACTAAGGCTAATTAAAACTTTCTGAACTAATCTCTCATTAGAAAGAATTTCTCCAAACATTTTCATTTGGTTTATCAAATCATTTAGCCTAGTAAGATACGCAGACAGGGTTTCATCATCACGCATTCTAGCATACTCAAATTCACGTCTCAGATTTTGTAATTTCACAGATCGTACCTAATCACCACCATGATACTCTCCATATAACAAATCCCATGCCATCTTCGTTGATTCGGCATTGGCGATTCGAGGGAAGATTTGATCCGAGACTGCGTTTTGAATGATTCCCAGAGCCTTTGCGTCTTGCATATATGCTGCGACAGTTTTTTCATCATTTTCTTCCTCTGAGCTTCCTTCAGCCTTCTTCTTCTTCTGTGAATCTAAGATTGTAATCCCTTTTTCAACTAATTTCCATAACCCATAAGATTTGAAGATTGTCACCATCTTGATTCTCCAGAACTCGTAGTTCTCACCGGAGAAGATCGGAGTTCTCACCTCAGAACTTCCAGATCCAGCCATCTCTTGACTTAGATGTAATGATCACAAATCGAAATCGGGTTCTATGAAATTCCGGCAACTTCACCTGAACTGAAACGAGCTCGAGTATAGCTCGATTTCTTCAACGTCAATGACGTTAGCTTCACAGTTTACGCCCAGATCTCAAATGATCGAACTAGGCTCTGAGGCCATGTTCAATTTCTTAAAGACTGATTTGAAAAAAAAAGAAAAAGGAAAAAAAAATGAATGCATAGAGAAGATGTGAGAAGAATGGTTGCTCTTCCTCTCTGCAAAATTCACAGAGGGATATTCTATTTCATTAATGCCTCACTCTCACACACACAACGTGCAAAAGAGGAATATTATAGTTAACAAGAGCTGAGCTGGATCAACACATCAGAAAAGTTGATCTCAATCGTTCATTACCTAATAACTAGAATCATCACACATGACACTCATGGCCTTACATCTTTTGACTTCACACTTGGCAGATATGCTCAAGAGAATAGACAATTAAACTCATCTTATTTCACTAATATTAATCAGCTATAGACTTATAAAAACTCCTAAAATATTTAAAAGTTTATATAAAAACTGATATTTAAAAGGAAAACGCCACCCAAGAAAACTGAAATCCTAGCGAGGTAACTAGCTCTACTCTTGTTTTCTGTTAGTTTCTCGAATTTGAGAAACCCTATGTTGGAACCGAAGGGAAAACAGTCCTAAAGTAGCCATTGAGCTTTTGGTTTGAGTTGATTCGGAAAGGGAAACCATAGGCAGGAATCCCATATGAGATAAAAAGATCGAAGAAGTAGTACCCAATTGAGAGAGTAATATTATTAATAATTTTAATTTCTTTTATGCAGGAAAAAGTATTTGGAGAAAATGGAAGGGTTTCAGTTGACGAAAGAGTGGCAAGAATGTATGGATGCAGTGTGGAGACGCAACAGAAAGGCTAAAAGCATAGATTGGAGAAAAGAGGGGATTCTTCCTCCCGTTCAGAAGCATACTAAGACGTAAGTTTTTTTTCGTTATTTTTTCTTAAGCAATTTATAACAAGCTAAATTGGAATCCCCTTAGAAATTAAAATGGAAGAGTTTGGATATGTGCAAAGATTCTAGTGAAGAAAATATTTGAAAATTTGACATTGAAGTTTGTTATGGTGAATAACCTTGGATTAGATTGATAGTGTTTACCGTATTTGTTTTTGTTGTTTAGAGATTTGAGTTTATAGGCACCTGATTAGCATATATGGTTGAATTTTGGAGTAAAAAATTCATGTAAAAAATTTATTGTACTGGAATATATTCGTTTTAGGCTTATTAAATTTTGAACTTCACATGTAATTTACACACTCTCTCTCATCCAAAAATTCTTTTACACAAGTATATTTCAGTAAAATAAATTTTTAACAAGAATTTTCTACTCCAAGATTATTCACCGCATCAAACTTCAATGTCAAATTTTCAAATATTTTCTCACTAGAATCTTTGCACATATCCAAACTCATCCACTTTAATTTCTAAGGGAATTCCAATTTAGCTAGTTATAAATTGCAAAAGAAAAAATAATGAAAAAAAGACTTACATCTTAGTATGCTTCTGAGGAGGAAGAACCCCTATTTTCTCTAGTCTACACTTTTAGCCTTTCTGTTGCATATCCACACTGCATCCATACATTCTTGCCACCTTTTCGTTAACTAAAACCCTTCCACTTTCTCCAAATACATTTTCCTGCATAAAAGAAATTAAAAATATTAATAATATTTCTCTCTCAAATAGGTACTCCTTCTCTAGTCTTTTTATCTCATTTGGGATTCCGGCCTATGGTTCCCCTTTCCGAATCAACTCAAACCAAAAGCTCAATGGTTATTTTAGGACTATTTTCCCTTTGGTTCCAACATAGAATTTTTCAAATTCCAGAAACTTAGAGAATACAGGAGTAGAGCTAGTTACCTCGTGAGGATTTCAATTTTTTTGGGCGGCATTTTCCTTTTTCTGGATATATTTAAAAGTTTATACAAAAACTGATATTCGACTCCCTCTCTAGTGTCATGCATTTTTTTGCCACTTGCCTCAACATCTATTGCTTGGTAAAGCTTCTTTTCATAAGTCGTGGGGTCAGCGGCCTCAAAAGTTAGATAAGCCATACTAGCAAAAAAACACGAGGTAGTGAATTGGTATGCCTCCACCACTCTCACAAAATGCGCTTGGAAGCCCTAAAAAAAGAAAGCCATGCATAGTATTATATTAAGGGTTATTTAGATATAAGTCCATGCAACACTTATTTTCTTGACAAAAACCCATCTCGTTTTAAACATCCAAATAAAACCCAAATTTGAAATAAACTGCCATGTAAACAAATAAATACCTATTATTTTCAAAATATTTACAATTGTGCCACAACACCCTAATTATGTTGATGAATTTAATTATCCACCATAATTATGGCTAATAAGTGCTTTATTATTACAAAAGTATCTATTTTATACTTATTTTGCATGTATACATTAGGCACATTTTGTTATTATTATATCTATGTAAAATAAATTACTTATATTTTTAGGTAGAATATAGGTAATTAATTAACTTTGAATCAATTGGCTGAAAACATCCTTTTATTTTGTAGGTAAATAATTTTGCATGTATTATTACATATATTAGCACATTTGTTATTATTATGTGTTGTTTGCAATCAATCAACATTCATTTATTCTGTAGGTAAATTACAAAAGTATCTACTTTATACTTGTCATACCATCATCTGTTCCATTTCATATTTTTGTTTGACAATCATTGTAGATAAATTATTTTGCATGTATACATTAGGCACATTTTGTTATATATTATTATGTGTTGTTTGCAATCAATCAACATTTTTATTTATTCTGTAGGTAAATTATTTTGCATGTATTATTACATATGTTAGGCACATTTCGATATTATTATTATTATTATTATTATTATTATTATTATTATTATTATTATTATTATTATATGTGTGTGTGTGTGTATGCAAATAACTTAACTTTTGAATGAAACAGTATTTATTTATTTTGTAGGTAAATTATTTTGTATGTATTGTTTTACCTGGATCTTATATTGTTATTTTATATATGTAAAATATCGGTAATTTTGAATAAAACAACATTTGTATATTTGTGAAAAATACTAATTTACCTGTTACAATTATTTGAAAAGGATAAAAAATGCTCATTTTTACATAAATGTGAAAACAACTATATAAGGAATCAAAACTCTGATATCATGTAATTTTTGTTATTGATATGCATTGAAATCATGACACTAAAAATTTTCTTTTCGAAATCTGCATAAACATTTCAAAAAGTTTAATTGAGTGAAATAATATAAAATAAATGTAGATAACAAGTAATAGACCCAGAGTCAATGATATTAGGGGTAATTTAGACATCTAAAAATACCAATTTTGCCAAGTCATACTTAATTATGGACATTGCTTAGTTGGAGCCTAGTCATTGGGTTTTTATTAGAAAATTTTACAATTGTAGGTTTTAGTTAATGAAAATTGAATTCCAAGGGGTATTCACTCGTAAAACAGAACATGCTAACGTAAGGAATAGAGCAGTAACTATTACAAATTCGGATCAGAACCTTTACTTTCCTGATTTCCTCCGGGGCGCAACGTGCATGTTTTTCAGCATTTGGGTAAGGCAGATACATTGGAGAGAAAAGACCATATCCAGTCTGTTTAAATAAAGGCAAGCGGAACAAAGTCAGCAACATATAGACCTTATTTTTTGGTCCTATATGCAAATGCAATTGTGTAGTACACTGTGTATTAGCACATGTTCTTATATGCATATGCAAATGCAAATGCAAATATAGTGCATGCCATTATTTAATGTTCTTATATGCAAATGCACAGTTAAGTAATAAGCTGCAGCCAAGTATCACACATATTCACACATACCATTTTGTTATTAGCCTCCCAGCGCCACGTACGATGTATGTAGGTTCCTGGAAGACATCAATTCATAATTGCATAAATCCAAAAAAGAAATGAATTACATGTGAAGTTCAAAAGTACACATAAAAAAACTGAATAGGTGTTTTAGGTCTGCGTTTTTCTCTGTTTAATTGTTGTAATTACGTTTATTTTCAGCGATATACATCTCTAACAGTGTTTGTGGTTGCGTATCAACGCACTACTTTATGTGTGTAAGAGGGCCTGCACCACCTATACTCTCGTTAGAGAATATAGCCCGGGGTGTTTTTGATGAGCGTGCTATAAAGGCCTGGATAGAAGTTACTAAGAAAGATAAAGAAGATGCGCTTGTACAAATGGAGAAGATGCTACAAGATTGCGACGTTAGCATAGTGGCCGCACTTCACTATGCATCCAGGTTCGAACTCCCTTTTGAGAATGACTGGTCATTTGGAAAACAAGCACTAGTAGGATCGTTGGTGAGTTTCTATTTAAATCTCTCTATTTTTGTTATAATTACATTTTTGTACTAACTACAACAAATTAAATTAATATTTTAATTTTGCGAGGGATACGCTACATAAATTCATGATTCATAATTATAGGAAAATTGAGGGTGCTGATGAAGTAACTATAAAACACATGCTAAAGCAATTCTCGCG